GGGGGCTGAGAGAAAGTACATTGGGGGTGAGGCCCCAGCCCTCGGCTCAGCCCATCATCCAGTTGAGAGACGAGAATCAGATTGTCCCAGAGAGAAATGCCCAGCGTGCCGCGGTTGTGCCACGGGTCTGCCCACGGGCTGGTCCGGCTGTTGTTGCGTCGGGCAGCACCACACTGTTCAAGACGGGAGTCGTGGAGCAGGCTACACAATGCAGGATGCTGCTCAGGAGCAAGAGCAGGGCCTCTTTATTGATACACCAGTCCTACAGCGTTAGTCAGAGGGGGAAACAGAAAAGGAGCAGGGGAAGTAGGAGGAGGGGCAGGGTGGAGCTGTGCTTCTCATCTGCTGATTTCTTGGTGTCCTAGATCAAGCCCTGACTCCCAGTCAGGATTTCAGTCTTACCAACAAGGCCTTCCCCTGACCAGCTCTGGGGTCCTTCAGTCAACAGCACCGCCCCCGCCCCCCACCCTCGTTCCAGGCCATACCTCGTGATGTATAAGTCAGGAGTGAGTTCATGCATTCCCCACCCATCCACCCACCCACCCCCCACCCCCAAGCGACCCCGGTGGGGTCATACATACCTTGTGATGCAGCCCCTTCCCAGTGATCCAGCTTTATGCTCTTAGGTGATGTGAAAGGTACCTGTCCTTTGGCCAGGCAGCTCTGACCTTGCTTTAGGAATATAGAACTGTAGGTCACAAGACGGAGGCTGGAGAGGCCGCTTAGGATTGCAGACCCGGAGGCTGTGGGCACCCCTGCCCCGGGCATAGGCCCCTTCAGAAACACCGGTTAGAAACTCTGGGAGCAGCAGGGATTGAAATCTGTGCTCTAGAGACCGCCATGCTGGGGAGGGGACTGTGGCTGAGGCAGGGGGTGGGGATAAAATTACCCTGTGTCTGAGAGAGGGGTTTGCTGAACCCAGAAATGAAGGGGATAAAAAGGGAGAGGAACCCACACAAAGAGGGCCCTGCGGGTGGGGCTGTAGTTTGCATACAGACAATTGATGCTAATTGCAAATCATTCTTATCTGCTCATTAAAGCTGCTTCCTGAAGTTTTCTCCTAGGCAACCAAGCTTCAGTGTAGAACAGCATTTCCCAAAATGGGGTGCTCGAGGTGATTTGGGTGGTATGGGGAGGAAAGTGCTTTATTTTAAATGGATATGTTAGCTTTAATGAGTATTAGGAAGTGTTACCAGCCCGTCCCCTGATTTTCTGCATACTGTCCTGGACAAGTTAAGGGAGATCCAGTGAGTTGATTTAAAGAAGCGTTCACGGTGGATGAATGTGGAGCGCAGTGAGCCAGCCGGACCCAAGCCTGTCTTCTGCCTCTTCTTGGCAGTGAGGCCTTACAGTTTTCTCATCAGTGAAGGGGGGGAGAGGGGGATTGGGGGGGGAATAAATCGCTTGCCTGCCTCCTTGGGGTGTGGTTGGCGAGGATTAAATGAGGTAATGCTTGTAGAGAGAGCCCCAGGACAGTGCCTGGCAGTGGACCTCAAACCTGGCCCTCACTGGGTGGGGGGTGGGGGTGGTACTAAATTGGAGGCCTGCCTCGAGCTAAAGCAGGCGCTCTCCTGTCATAGACTGTACTGGAGACACCCAGTGCCTGGGACAGGCAGGAAGCCCAGTGGGGGAACAGACCCAGCCCTACACCGTAGTCAGGGCCTGGGGGGAGTGAGCACCCAAATGTGGGAGGCACTTTCCTGGAGTCAGGAGGGACGGACGGGAAGCTTCCCGAATGTGTGCAGGCCCCACGGTCCTCCCTGCAGTCTTGCCAAGTTGGTCGGCCCCAGTTCCTCAGATGGTTGCTGGGCACCCGCTGGGGTCAGACCTGGGCTTCAGGGGCCTGAGCACCTCTGCTGCGCTAGCCCGCAGCCGAGCCCCAGGCCGCCCGCAGCCTCCTGCACCTGCTGTCCTCAGCGTGTCCTGCCGGGCTCTGCGGGGCCAGGGCTCGTGGCCACCCTCGCCTCTGCCCCCCACCCCCAGACCGTGCAGTACCTCACACTCTACCCGCCAGGCCCTCTGCCGGGCCCTGTGCCAGACTGGCACTGCCAAGGGACAGGGAGCGAGTCACTGTATTGGGCCAAAAGGTGGGCGGCAGCAATGCATGAGCTATGCTGGGGGCTGCAGGAGGCCTACGAGGGTCCGAGCATGGGTATGGTGCCAGGCCCAGGGTGTCAGTCGAGCCTGGGGCGTGGGGGCCCCTCTCCCCGAGCAGGAAGGAGAGAGAAGAAATAAGGTCCAGGGAAAGTAGCTCCAGGAGGCTCCTGAGATGCGGTCTCTACCAGGGATGCGTATGTGGGTGTGTGCTTTATAATGAGGTGCCTGGCTGCACTCACTTGCTCTTCCCCCAGCTCTCTGGGGGACTGTGTCAACAGAAGAAAGAACAGTCGTTTTTCTCCCTGTGTGGGGAAAACCCAGTTCTTCGCCCCTGTGTGTCTCTCCCTTCACACGGAGCGCCTCGCTGCACGCCGACGCCCTGGTGCCCAGGTCCGAGGTTTTCCCGCACGCAGTCTGTGTGCCACACCGGCTGGCGTGTGACCCTCTGCATGACTCGGCTCTGACGCCGTCTTCCTGGAGATGAGTCAGACCCCGCGGTGAAGGGCTCACCCCAAAGATTACCCCGCCCCGACTGCAGGCGCTCATCCCAGCGGCGGGGCCCAGGTACCCCCACCACCTCTCGCGCTGTGGCTGCAGTGCTCAGGCGCCCGTGACCTTAGAAGCCCAGAAACAGCTTATTAACAGTGTTGGAGGAGAACACGGTGGAGAAGGCAGACGGCCATCCGGTAGAAGAGAGCTCTCTCCCGGCACCCCACTTTCTGCACACCTCCATGGGTTCACCAGCCCAGAAGCTCCCTGAACTTTGCACTTTGGGGATCTTTGTGGCAGTGACTTCACGTGGGCAGGATCATTCACTTTACTGTCAGGTAGAAGTGAGACGCTTCTCATCCTGGCTTTTCTTTCCGATCACCACGGACCCCACCTAGGTACCATCTGGGAACCCACTGGTGTCACCTCAGTAGAACAAAAGACCCCCAAGAAACTGCAAGGGCTTCAGAACTGGGGTGAGAGAGCAAATGTGAGAGTAAAAGCTGTTCCTCCTCCTCTCATCATCTCGGCGATCACAGGGGTATCAGGAGCCTGGGCCGGAGACCGCTAGGTGTCCTGCTGCCTAGAGGGATGTTTGACAGCAGTGAGAGAAGGGGAGGGCGGGCTTGTGGGAGGGGGTTGCATGTGCAAAGGCCTTGGGGTGACGAGGTCAGAGCTCAGTCAGGTCACTGATGCCCCTGGCCCCTTGACTCAAGTGTAGAAATCGAGGGGGGCAGTAGCGGGAGGTCGGGAAGCTCCCCGGGGTTAGAGCACACAAGACCCACTCAGCTGCGGCAGTGTTTGAGTGTGACCCTGAGAGTGGTGGGCAACCGGAGGGTTTTCAGCATAAGGGTGACCCAGGCTTGTTTATAGT